TCTTGTTCTATTTTTAATCATTGAAAGTTACCGACTACTCACAAGTGAGTAGTATCTCACAACACTACTACTGCTACTACTAGTAAGGTGATTTTTTGGACAAATTATCATTGGGCCTTCGTGTGGCTGTAAAATCAAGTGTGTTCAGTTAGCCATGCATTCAGGAAGCACCGGAATCGAGTTCCACCTCATATCCACCAGCCCTGGGTGGATTAGAGTTCTGAATCACTCGTACGGAACGTGCGTACTGTTTCAACTGGTTAAAAGGCGAAAACCGAAAAACAAAAACGGAGAGAGCCTACCTTGAGTTTCGATCGATTCTACCGAACGTTCTTTTCGTTTCGGCCCATTCGGATCGCGCGGTTTCCGTCCGCGTTTCCGTTTCGGTTGTTCAGTAGAGGGTTCCTTCAATTCGACTTCATCTTCCGTATCACTGAGCGGGATCAGTGCGGTCAAATCGTAACCCCGTCGATTGCCTGAAAAATTAACAATATTAAAAATATTATTCCTATTCACATCTAACCAAATAAAGCTACAGAGTGACCGCGACCAGGATCAAACGGTATGTCGAGGGGGTGGGGAACTTACGTAAGGCTTGATTGACCAAATACGGATTGGAATGGCTCTCCTTTTTGAATTTGCGCTGATCAAAATTTGAGAGGCAAACGGGGTAAAGAGAAACCGGTCGCATTAGTTATGTGATCATGTTCGGTAAGGATCAAAATGATCAAGCTCAATTTAAACAAAAAACAGCTGCATAGCTATAGCGAAGATTCGAATGTGGCGACTGCACCAGCAGAACAAGACAGGGGAGAGAATACGTTTGGACCCCACAAGGGACGACTGTCACTTCTTCAAAGACAGAAACGACACTGGTGAATGGTGAAAAAAATTAACAAAACAGGAATCGACCGGAGTAGCCAGAAGTTAAGGCACACCACGGTAATGCAGAAAATCTAACTTCAACTAAGAATCAAACATTTGTTACACTCCGTGGAAGGGGCAAAATTTGGGTAATTCCATCACAACGAGACTGCACATTAGTGGATAACTAAATCGATACCCAAAGTCAGTGCGTGACAGATTTCTAGAAGCTTACAAATTGGTGCCTCGGCCTTGCTCCGGCGTGGACTACCTCGATGTCGTCGTCCCATCCCCGGGGTCTCATGTGCCCATTTGGAAAACCATCACTCTTATCTGTCTAGTTCTGCCTCGCACTCCCAAATTGTAACAGATGCTTTCTGTTTGCGTCATAAAAAGAGATANAGATATCATTCAGTATTCAACCGGTAAAGTCAACCAACCTAGCTAGAAACCCTTGAAACTTTTAATTTTGACGTATTTCGAGAGACAAAACCTTACTTCAATTATTACCCTGCTTTTTCCTGACTCAAACTCCATCATCAGGCTTCATCCTTCGGGTCTTAAGCAATCGAGCACCCGACGCTCGCGGTGTTATTGGAGTCTGGATTGTACTAAGTGTCAAGATCGATCGCTCATTTCTCCAAAGGATTCCGGTTAGTTGGCGATTGCGCTGTACTTCACGACGGCTGAGTACAAGTTGACAGCTACAGAACGAAGCGTCAATCCTTATTCACGTATCGGTGTGTGCACCGACGGATTGCAGTTCGTCAGAAATGAACGATCAATTCTAAAAGGACCTCTCAACTGTTCCACAGTGCTCGATCAACGGAAATCGCAGTAGGCGCTGGAAACTTCAATGTCCAAGTGGGATCTCTGGACGAATAAAAAACGTGCCTCGTACGCAATCCCAGCCAACCGGACGGGCAGCGAAGATCGCCTACATCAACTCTGCACTGACTACGGTTTGTTCATCATGTGCATCATCAACATCTCCCGCAAGAAATGGTACCGCCTTATTCGGAATCCGTAAACCTCGTCACGGCGGTAGACTAAAATCGACCTCATCGACATCAGGTATCGCTAGCGAAAATCCATTGGAGATTGCCGCTCTCAGTGATTAACACTCGCGTGTATAGACCACACTTTGTTACGAGCCAGATTATACCTAAACCTGACATTCTCCAAAATGTCACTGGAAACAGATGTCTACAATAGAATGTTGCTGATAGTTGTAAATCGGCCTTTGAGGCAGAGCTCACTGATCAGCTTTCAGATTAACGATCGGTCGAAGGACTCAGTGAAAATCAGACGGAATTCAAGGATGCGATCCGGACATAAATCAAAACAACGGCGGGNCTCGGTGCACGACCAAAGCCCTCGGCTGAAATGTTGGACGCTCAAAAAGCAACTCCTTCTAATGGCAAATAGGACGAAGAGCGTAAATATTTCAGACGCCAGCTCATCAAGAGTATGAATAATGAACGGGAGAAGTGGTGGACAGGGAAGTGCACAGATATAGAGAAGGATGTGGATATTGGAAGCAGACACAACCTTTTCCCTTTAATAAGGAGGACGGGTTCAGAGAAAGAATGCATGAGGTAATTAGAGAGTCGGAAAGTGCATTGATATTCGCCCACGTTATCTTCAGCGAAGAGTTGAGCATTTTAACGGTCCCCAGTCGACATCTTCAAACTGTGAAAAATTGCTACAGTATTGGGCTGGTGCAGCCCCCGACCTCAGTCCAACTAAAGAAGCAATAAAGATTGTGGACAAATTTGGCTACCTGGGGAGCTAAATATCACTCGGCGGACGCATCACGGATGAAGTGTTGGCACAAGTACAGAAGAGCCGATTGGTATTTGCCAACTTGAGACATTTGTGGTGCCGTCGCAACAACCGGCTGTCTATAAAGAGTCGAATATACGCTCTTGCAGTTTGGTTAATGCTTCCTTACGATAGAGAGACTTGGCCATTAACTGAACAGGATAAAGATAGGCTGTCGGTGTTCGAGCGCCGCAGTTTGCACAGAATTGTGTGAGTCTGTTGGGGAAACGGGACAAGCAATGCTGAGGTTAGGCGTAGAGTTTTAGGTTTTATGAGCAAGTGGTCGACCTCCATAGATTACGCTGGTTAGGGCATGTGTTACACATGTTACCAGACAGCTTACGACGGCGAGCGATGTTTACTGAGGCAGATAGAGGGGGGGAATAAAGCCAAGCGGGGTCAAATTATGACCTGGGATGGGTGTATGCAAGCCTTAACCAGGAGACTGGGTCACATGGGTCTCGTGAGGTTCCTTGACTGGGGACCCCCAGATCATAGTCACCGATGATTAGAGACACTGAGTGATATGGCTGGGTATCGCAAACGGTGGCGTTCATGCATATACTCATTATTCTTATAACACCAGTCTATATGAATTCTCCATGTTCCGCTTGAATTAGCTTTAATATTCCAGTCTTCATCCTGCTCCCTGATCTAAATGGGTGGCCAAAAGACAGCAACCCAAACCAGCGAACGATAGTGCATGGTGAAAGGTTGTAAAAAAAATTGAAACTGAAACTCTGCTCTTATCTAGACGAGCAGCCGAAAGATAGCAAACAAACACGCCACACGAAGCTGCATGGTTGCACAAACTAAGACTGAAACTGTACGAAATAATCAAGTGAGAACGTCTGAATTCGGCCCCCAATCGACTTCGATTACCTCGGAAGACAGAAACAGGTAACCTGAAAATTTTTTTCCTACGCATATACTGGACAAGTAACCCAATAAGATCACGTAACTTCAGTGATATGAATTATGTAATGAACGATCGAACATAATTCCATAATTGAAGACGCCCGTGATAAAACGGAAGATTAGTTCTAGGATTATCGAATTGAAAAATTTGCGGCATATATTTCTCTAGCATTTCCATGATTTCTCAAACTCAGTTGGAGAAAAGGTCATTAGGGCTGTTCGGTACCTGAAGAATGGAAATCGGGTCGATGCTCTTCGATGGTGGTGATAGATATAACAAAGTATAGTCTGCAAGTACAAAACTGACGAGAGGTGAGTGTGAATCACAATGACGAGTGTATCGGTCAAGCATGATCCATTTGTGTCAGCAAACGTGACACAGTGAGATTATAGAAAGAGGGAAACAAATGTAGCACATACAGACCTATACGCACAACGTTTAGTCGTTGCGAGGCTAAAGCAATAGATTCAGTGATTTGGATGAAACCAACGTCTTGCAACAAGCAATATGTGGATTTGACGTCCGGATAACCTGAACTGATGATGCGACAGCTCTGGTGATAACCCGGCTATGCTGAACTCATAGTGGCTTGATGACTTGATTTGCAAAACGGATAAAACAACCCAAATGAGGTGAAGTACGAAACAGTTCCAAGGACCGACTCCGTACTTCCACTGACCCCTCTGATGAGTGGTTATTGGTTATGGATCCTAATTTGGGCATTGTGAAAAATATATTGTAATCTATCCGATGTGGACCAATTGTCGTAGTATTAGGTCACAGTATTCGTCTCATACCGCCCACTCCCAGGTACGAAATTATGCATACTTTTTACAGTATCCATTCGTTCTCCAGTTTATATCGACTCCGAAAGCCTCAGTATGGTCCAAGGTGGGTGTCTAGGGTTGCGGCTAGCCACTCTTCCCTTTGCATCTCTCGAAATGCTAGCCTACGACCAAGCGTCTCAAATAGCCTCTGCGATCTCGTGGGACGGAAGTGTTTTCCCACCAAAATAAGAGAACGAAAAGCCGACATCCAGGGTTATAACCGGGTTGGTGAACTACTGATAATTCACCTGGGGAAGTTGGCTAAAAACCCTGATTCTAAGCCAACCTAAAGAAGGAGTACGAACCACATCCCCATAACTTCTTAGTCGTGGCAGTGATCACCGGCTGAATGGGACATCGAGGTGTTTTGGGCAACTTGGGCGTTTGAGACCGTCCACAAAGGGCGCATGATCTAATTTATTGGATCCTTCCCCCGCCATGGACTGCGGTTTTTACACACCGCCTCGCTGTATTGCGGGTTAGGCTTTGACTAGCCGAAGGACCCAATTGTGAAATCCTCAAGAACATTTACCTGCCTTGGCCTGGGCAACCCGGCAGTATTTCACCCACAAGCATAAGAACTGATGTAAAGGTTATAAAGATTACTGTGGATTTGTTTGGTACACAGTCCGGCGTGAGACGTATAAAACACAAATACAATATCGCCTCAAACTAATATACAGTAAAAATATATACATCGAGCGGACACACACACACACAAGTTTGTACCTTCAACTCGGCACGTGAGCGATTCGGGAACATGGCGGCCATCAGATAAAAATCACGACCGAACATGCTCAGAGCCCGGTAGAATCGCACAGTCTCTTGCGGTCGCCACCGTTGACCACGACGAGGCGGTGGATTACGAAAACTGTAGTAGTCCACATTGAGCAGACCAGTCTCTTCGCTCACATGGCGCACATTGGTATCGTCTCGAGCGGTTTCCGGAACGGAGACTACCAGACTGGTCTCGTCCAGCACAATGTTGCCATCAGCGTCCAGTCGAAGTTGCGGGGCGAGCAAATCGAGTCCATCGGTGCCGGTTGACGGTTTCACTGGTGACTGGGATGAGCGTTCAGTTTTCAATGGGGATGAATCAACCTGTTGGACAACCTCATCGGTCCGTTCAGACTGTTCCGACTTGATGGAACGAGTTCGACGATAGCTGTGTGGCAGAATGAATAAATCGAGAAGATGGCCCGGTCAGATTTTAAATTATGAGAGAAGAGCTAGGAAAAACCACATGTTGAAGAGATTGATTATTTTTTTAATTTCAGAAGTTGACGAAAACGTCATCAACTGCATTTTGTGACGCATCGAAACCCACCTAGTTAGACAGAATATAAAGCAGACAGTGAATGTTTGGATTAGCCCAATCGGTTGTTGACACAGGCACTGTGTGGGTGTGGGTTTCACTCCCCGGGGAGGTCGTCAATTCCCTTCAGTTAAAGGCATTCAAGTGCGATGGAAATGCTTGTGCTGACAACTAACAAAGAGCGTTGGACAGCTGTTTTTTCCTGTTTGGGACTCGTCAGCAGTGCGTACTATCAGTCGAAAGTGATCATCTTGAGTGAAACCGTCACCCAAGATCATTAACAGAGTATGGTGCCTGTATCAATAATCAAATGAGCTAATCCAAATATTCACCGTCTAAAATAGACTGACAAACAAGGCGATGGGACGGATTGATCCCGATGAAAACCCGATGATTTTCGCCAGCTGTGCCACTGACACCTGTGAATACTCCTCCACCATTGCTTGCACGATCGGAATGTTGTCCGCCGTAGTGGCCTCCACAGGTCGACCGCATAATGTTTCGTCGTTCATGGACCGCCTGCTACACTTGAATTCCGTAAACCACTCAACCACAATGCTTCTTGAAGGCGCGGCATCATCAAAGGCAGCTCGGAAACGATCAACACTATGCTGCTGCTGCTTTTAACCACATTTGTAGACTTAGAAAATCATCGACTTCCAGTGACCTTGACTGAGTGCTTTCCATCCTAACAGTCCGAATATAGCGATCTTTGACTAAGACTTGCGAGCTGTGCTCGGCTGTTGATATTTGGTTGGTTGGTTGGTGAGTTGCAATCACAGAACAATATTCCACAACAGATTACAGGTCAGATCTTCTCTGGTCGGTCATCTGCACCTCGTACTCTTGTGCACTGCGAAACCGCAATCATTTCGATCAAATAATAGCACAGTGATGTAATATTTTTAGTACTGAACGAGTACTAAGAGATGGCCACCCATATGGTTGTTATAGTTGTTGTTGTATCGAGACTGTTCACATCCGGGGCTCATTAGGGTGACCTGATGCGAGGAAAGCGCGGACTGGTGCGATCAATCAAGTGCTGGCTTCTCAAATCTGAAATCATGTTATGTTGTTAGAAACCGCCGATTATCGCATCGAACAAAACAGTCATCGCGAAGCCCTACTTGCTGCGTTCCCGTGGTGGTGTTCTCCCACCAAAGTGAGAGGACAAAAGCCGACATCTGGGCTATAACCGCTGCGACTCGGTGGTCAACTGAAGACCTGGAGCAGTACGATAAGGGCGGATTTGGAATTACTAAGACTCCAATTCGTATATGGAATTCGTAACTGGAGCCAGAACTGGGTTTCACACTGTGTCAAACTTGCTACCGATCGTCATGCATGAGGTGGCATCATTAGAGACATCCAAGAAGCCGACTTACCCTCCCGCAGGAGTTAGTCGATCAAAAGTAAAAGTATATAAAGTAAGAGTTGTGCAAGAATGGGCAACACAGTAACAATAAAACTACGCACTGTTGAAGCTCCTTGTGAAAATTAAACCCTGTTGTGGTGAACGAATTACAGCGTGTAGGAGGAAGGCTTGAATTCCGCATCGACCTCCTAGGCATTTTGTATTGTATTGTGTATAACTTTTGAGAGCACTGGAGCTCACATTTCAGTTAAAAGCATACACGCTAACCGTCACAATGTACATAATCAACGGGGAGAAAAGTTTTCGCAGGTATGGACACATTCATAATCCAAGACTAAGACAAAGTTCACTCATTGTTCGCTCTTTGTTTGTGAGTAGACGAGCAAGATACGGTA